ACTTCTCAAAAAATTAAAAATAGAAATATCATATGACCCAGCTATCCCACTACTGGGTATTTATCCAAAGAACATGAAATCAACAATACAAAGAGACTTATGCACCCCTATGTTGATTGCAGCCTTATACACAATAGCCAAGATGTGGAAGCAACCCAAGTGCCCATGGACTGATGATTGGATAATGAAGATGTGGTATATATATATACACAATGGAATACTACTCAGCAATAAATAAAGACAAAATTGTCCCATTTGCAACAACATGATGGACCTATTATGTTAAGTGAAACAAGCCAGACAGAGAAAGACAAATACCATATGATTTCACTCATATGTGGAAGATGAACTAAAACACGGACAAAGAGAACATAATTAGTGGTTACCAGAGGGGAAGGGGTGTGTGGGGTGGGCATAAGGAGTGAAGGGGCACGTTTATATGGTGACTGACAATAATGTACAACTGAAATTTCACAATGTTATAAACTATTATGACTTCAATAAAAATTATATATATATATATATCTCATGTGAGCCACAAAAAAAATGTATATGAAAGAAAGAAAACTCAATAACTCCAAAAAATGACCAGGAGAAAAAATGAAATAAAGATTAAAAGAGAAACACCACAAGAACAAATATGTCCAAAGAATACTAAGCCACCAACAAAGAAGAAATACAAATATTCAACAAATTCTAAAAACTTCAACTAGTAATAGAAGTAGAAATTTAGATGAAATGCTGTCTTACTGGGAACAATTGAAAATACTACCAAGCATTATTGAAGGTTAACACAGGTTAGTATTCATTGACTGGTGATCAGAGTGTAAACTGGTATAACCATTCTCAGGGTTAATTTAGCAATATATACCAAGAAGCTTTAAAATGCAGCAATTCCATTTCTAGGAGTTCTACTTCTAAAAAATATAAGCTAAGGAGGGGATAATCCATGGCCAGGTGCCGGCCTCCTGCTCTCCTGTGCCTCCTAGCCATGCCTCAAAAAATTAAGGAAATCAAGGACTTTCTGCTCATTGCCAGGCGAAGGATGCCAACTCTGTCAAGACCAAGAAAAATAAAATTGAAGTTTCAAGTTTAATGTAGCAGAGACCGTTATAACTTTCTCATCACAGACAAAGAGAAGGCAGAGAAACTGAGGTAGTCCCTGCCCCGGGTGTGGTGGTCAAGGAGCTGAAATGAACCAAGCATGCTGATTAAAACTGAATCAAAATTTTTTAAACTCTTAAAAATATATATATGCTGGGGCCAGCCCTGTGGCCAAGTGGTTAAGTTCACGTGCTCCCCTTAGGCAGCCCAGGGTTTCACCAGTTCGGATCCTGCGTGTGGACCTAGCACTGCTTGTCAGGCCATGCTGAGGTGGCGTCCCACACAGCAGAGCCAGAAGGACCTACGACTAAAATATACAACTATGTACTGAGGGGCTTTGGGGAGAAGAAGAAGAAGAAAGAAAAAGGACTGGCAACAGATGTTAGCTCAGGTGCCAATCTTTAATAAGAAATATATATGTGTATGTATATATACACACACATACACATGCTAAGAAAATAATTGGAGAGGTGCCTGAAGATATGTACTAGAGTGCAAAGGCATCTCTCTCTCTCTCTGTTCCTCATAGGTATGTATAACATTTACATGTAATATCTGCTATTGTAGAACATTCAAAATATGTAAAAATGTATAAAGTAGTCCTTTCTCCTTCCATAATTATGTTTATAACCTATATTGTTTTAAGCAAAAATGGGATCAGACTAAACTTGATTTCTTCATTTTATCAGTAAAAGAAAGAAAATTCATTTAATAAAGAAAGAAATTTCTCAAGTCAGTATACACAGACCCATCAGACTCCTTTGGATGGGTGACCTTGCCTACACAGACTCGCAGCTGGGCCTGTCTCCTGCTTGGAGGGGCTGAGCCGAGAGTTAGTCTGGCAACAGCTCCCAGCAGGTGAACTCAAGGAGGGTTGATAGTGTAGCTTTCTAAATAAGGGGCCCATCCTATGGAGTCTGGGACCCCTGGGCTACACTTCCGTGCCAGCAGCCACTGCAGGAACAGATGAAGTGTGCACAGAGTCACCCCAAGTTAGAAGGCCACTGAGACCCATTTCTTGGTCTCTGAGACTCATACTGCTTCCCTCTGGGTCCAGGCTGGTGCGGCTGATCTGTTGGATGGTGAACAGTATCTACAGGCCAGCAGCAAAACAGCACCCCTAAATGGAGAAGTTCATTCTCCAAAGATGGTGGCTTGGAAACGTGTTTATGATCTACTGTTAAGTGGGGGGGGGGGGGGGGGGGGGGGGGGGGG